ACTCATGAGCTAGAAGAAAGAGCAAAGGAAGTAGCTGTTTCACTGAATGGGTTTTAAGTCAAGAGGAAACAAAACATTGGTCGAAAAACTTAAGGGGAGAAGTTGAATATTTAAAATTAAAATAAATTATTTGAATAAAGCACTGAGTCTGTGATAAATAGTTTTTTATAATTGAATTGTAATCAATAACTTACCACATATCCTAGTACAGTATATTAATTATGAGTTTATAAAAACTGCTAATTCAATGTTTTTACAATATATCAAAATAAAGTTTATCAACATTTTAAAAAATAAATAAAAAGTAATTTTATAAAACAATATTTGTAACAATTTTATTATAAAATATAACTCCTAGCTTTAATTAAAACTCGTGATAAGATAATTTGCAATTAATCCAAAACTAATAATTTTCATTCCTTATTATATTTTTAAGTATCCCAAAATGATTGGTATTCTTTAAGAAATTGTAATTTTTAGATAAATGACAAAAGTTGTTTAGCCCTGTACATTCAACATAATGTAATAAATAGTTATAATAATTAATATAGTACTAATAAAAAGTATAATAATTTTAATATATCAACATTAAAAGAAGTAATGCTTCTAAGTTAATTTTTTATACTTAAAGAAAATTTACTCTTCCGTAATATCTATGTTTCATAGAATAAAATTTTAAAAAATTGCATTAAATCTTATACAAATTGATTTAATTATTATCATTTAACATTTTACATACTTATTTTTAAAATATTTAAGCAACTATTATAAACTAAAAAATAAAATTATTCCCAGCTATCGGTAATTTTTAGAAACCCAAATCTATCACCCAAGTACCTATGGTTTTTCCAAGTTTTTTCTGCTATTTTCTGTTCTATAAACTTTTTATGATGTTCAAATGATTTTGCATGACCATTTGATTGTTCCTAAAATGAAGAATGAACCAAACTTATGTCTTTAAAAGATAATATTCAAAAAGAATGTAGAAATTTTAAAATTAATTTATAATAAATTATATATAAATTTATACGAAATGATCAACTTACTGGAGTTAAATATGGATGTCGCAATAAAAACATATTTCGTTCTTCTATTTCAAATTCCATTCTTTTTGCATTGACAATTCCAGGATTAACCTCTTTGTATAATTTATATTTTCTGAATAAAAAATATAATATAATCAACGACTATTTTCTATAAAATAAAAATTAAAAAAAATACTTCTTGATAGTTTTCTGTACATAAACTCACCCATGCCATAAATGTCCTTTAGGTAAACGTTTTTTCCACCTAAAAAGAACTTGTGTAACTTTCATTTTAATAAATAAATATTAACAGTATTCGAATAAGTATTTTCTTATTGTATGCGCCGTGATACAAAATTCTTAATTATTACTCTATGAAATGTTTTGAAACTAATTTTATCAAGAAAAAAAAAGCAGAATAGATTAATTTACAAGCAATGCGCCAATTTCACTCTCTATGAAGTATTAAGATTTTTTACTAAAAGCTACTTTTTTAAATCAGTTTAAAAAAAGTTAAAATTTAAAATTTTGTTTCTCAATAATTAATAATTAATATTTATATGAATTACTGAAAATTCATTAAGTTATCTTAATTAATTCAAACGTTTCGACAATTATTATACATTATAAGACTGCGGATGTATATCGGTAAAAAAATATTTTAATTTTTTTATTGTATTTTTGTCATAAAACGGAATTTCAACATAAGCTGAAAAATGATTTAATTGATATATTTAACCGATTTTTAGTTTAAAATATACTTTATCGATACGATTTGTAACAATTTAATAAGTACATAAGTACATAAATTTGTAATAATAAAATTTTTTTTTGAAAATAAAATTAAATAATAACGGATACTATTCAATCATATAATGTCACTTTAAAAATATCTAGTTAAAAAAATAATAATAATTCATTTCAAAACTTTACAAATGAGTTAATAAATTAAA